TATATTTCCCTGTGGTGTTTGTGTTTTCTCTGGCATCCCCAGCACTGCCTCCCGAAGTACCAGGCGGCTTGGACATTTGTTCAATTTTTTGAATGCATGTAAAACCTGGTTTTGTTCTTTTATGTTCCTTAATGATTTTTGGGTCTAATCTAAATTTGGGTGTAAAGTCGGAGATAGTGTCCTTCTACCAATCAACGAACTAATCAAAACAACCAAACGCGGCATTCGAACCCTCGGTGGGCTCGATTGGAGTCACGGTAGCTCAAGTGGTAGAGCAGCGGCGTATTTAGCCGAAAGTCGAGGGTTCGAATCCCGCGTTTGGTTGTTTTGATTAGTACGTTGATTGGTAGAAGGACACTATCTCCGACTTTGGTTTCCGTTTCAGCAGAAGGGCGATTTCAGTGGCCACATCAAGCAAATTCGAGGTAAGGCTCTACGCAATCATGGTTTTATTACCAGGTTGTCTGGAGTTTTTAAAAATGTCTTGGTGTTAAAATATTATATCAATCCCTCGTGCGTAGTCATCTGGAATATTATACCCAGATATACCACGTGTAGTTGGTTTCCATACGCATTTATCAATTTTAAGTACTTGATAAGATTATCTTTGAAGTCACTGTTATGCTTAAGAACTATTTCCAGATGAGATGGTAGGTCACACCATTCTCGGGTCTCTCTTAGCTTATTACATTCCTCCAATATGTGTCTCACCGTTACCGGGTTTCCACAGAGTGGGCAGCGTTTTTGACTTCTATCCACTAAGAGGTGACCGTGTTACAGCTTCCTTACTGTGGCTGCACGTACGTTGGCGGTAGCTCAGTGGAGAAGGGGGGGGAACGTGTTGAAGGGAGAGACAAGTGATGGTCGGTGAGGAGGTGAACGTTTATTTACAGGTATTATGTTGAGCGCCACGGTATTTTTGAAGAAGGATAAATACCCAAACCAGGGGGGAAAAAGGGAAAAGAAGAGTAGAACAATAGAAAGAAAGGGAAAAGGAAGGACAGATACGGTTTCCGTGTCAGACCCCAGACGACCGATGTAGCGCTTCTGGATCTCTTCTTTCTGATGGTGCTTCCACCCAGGATTATGATGGGAGCTAAATGATGAAGTTCTCCTGCTTCTATCCGAGTTAATTCGTTAACACAAGCAAGATATCTTAAGGTATTTAGCTTAGTTAGGGTTAAACTACAATTTAAAAAAATGAATACTGATCACAATTATTATATTTACAAGTACATAGACAAATTCTTTGTAATTAAAAACTAACAAAAGGCTGAAACTTATAGCTAATGTTTCTAGTCCGGAATTATCAGGCCTGACAAGAAATTGGAAATGAACCAACTCACGGGATCACTCTTCACTTGCCGGGATTAGCCCCTTTCTCTTCGTAGGAACTCTCCGATCAGCACGACTAGGATCACAAGCCACACAAACACGTACACTTTTTTAAAGAATATTTTCTTTCCTCGCGGAGACCACCTCTTCCTCGGAACGTCTATATCGAATGACTCTCCTTGTTTGTTTTTTTCTTGTTTTTTTTCAATCTCGGACCCAGTGCCCTCCCGATCAGGATCTTGCAGCCGCGAATTGCTTCCTGCTTCTCGCGTTTCTCTTCTCGGTTCGTCCCGCCACTATTTAAGCTTTATTAATTTTTTTCCCGAGAAGAAGGGAAAAAATGTAATAACCGTGCGAGAGACGGGTGTGACCAATTCGCAACCTTGTTAATATTATTTTGTTACCTCTTTCCAAATTCTCCACGGGACACGGCCTCCCCGTACTTTTATGTATTTTTAGTTTTTCATTACTTTTGTTCGAGTTAGCCTGCCATTTTTTGTTAGTATGTGCTTTTTTACTACTCTTGTAGATTCACTCTATTGGGCTTATAAATAAATAAATAATAAAATTTAAACTTAATTTGCTCTATCCTTTGTATTTTTTCATTAAGTAATACGAGAAATATGAATTTTTCCACATTTCTGTTTTACCTGCCCAGAATGTATACAATGAACAAACCAAACTATTCATCCTTTTTACTAATGCTATTTATTATATTGTAGTTTTTCAGCCATTATTACAGATTCAGGAAATTTTATTATAACAAATTTCATTTGAATAATGTTCATAGAAAAGCCGAAGAATTGAATTTATTTATATACTTTGTTTCCGTGTTGAACAAACAAGGTAAAGCGATTTTTAGGCGTTGCTCCACCCAGCGGACAACAACTTTAAACGGAGACTGTGCTTTATTAATTATTACTTGGGGATAGGCAGGGCTTAAACTGGCGAATAAACAATGCAAAGTCCCATTTTATCTAATGGCCGTTTGTTCAGATTGCGAACTCTGCTACGCCTATGTGGCGATCATTTTGTTCAGTTGAGTCGTCGTTTATTCATATTTTTATTATTTACGATGTACTCACCTACGTCCTAAAAGTAGGATAAAAGAGGGTAAGACAATGCAATAAGTATTAGGTGCTTTATCTAGATAATATTATGTTACGATTTATGTTAATGATCTATAAAATTTATATTTCTTTTTATTATAGATTAACGATTAACTATCAATTCTGCTAATTGTAGTAGCCTAGTAGTTAATTTATTTAGAAATCGATTAACGGTCACTAATCACCACACATTTCTAATAGTTAATAATACTACTAACAGTTTTGGGTCATCGATAAACACAACTAGGGTACCTTGAAGGTATAGAAATAAAGGAACAGATGACCGACTAACCAAAGAAAAAAAATCCCACTCACCCATCTGTCCGGATCCACAACTAGACGCGCCGCGGAGTGGGCTAAGGAAGGATTTAGAAAATGGATTTAGAAAACAAAAAAAGTACTGGAGAAAGTATCTGGGAAGCTAAAAAGGCACCCGGGACGGCGGTAGCCGAGGGGTTAGCCTCCCCAACTCTATTCGCGACCAAGAAAGACAAACAGTCAAATTGGTTTCTTCAAGACCATCAATAGTGCCAGAATTTAGACTCTGCTGTCTCAGAATAGTTCCACTTAGAAGAAGAAACCAAAACTCGCAAGCGCGCTGTTGTCACAGTTAGACAGGGTAAAAATCAGGGGAATGATAATGATCCCTAGACGCACCGGAGAGTTTGTCCGTTACGTACCCCAAGTCATGGGTGTAACGCGCTCTACTGAGCTTCGATGGACAGAAGGTAGTGGGCGCCCGCGATGAATGACGGCTGGAGCCGATCGTTTTATTGTTCTTACCGCCCTAGTGTTCGTCATAGGTAGCTTCTTGAATAGGTAGTCAACGCCAAACGGTCCGTAATGTTAGCATGTGCTCTAAAGTAGGGATCAGACTTCGTGAGAATAGCCTAGTTTTTAGACGTCCCGTATCTGGTTTTTTACTACTGGTGATGCATTGAGTAGAAAGGCGAATATTCGCAAATCAGCCTCTCCTTGGACAATTGAACAATTGTTCTCTTCTTAGATGAGTCCCGGTTTGGTTTGCGGTAATGAGATGGCCGAGACTGTGTGTGGAGAGGACATGGTGAACGCTGTGCTTCATGTGCCATACCTGACAGCCTTTTCAAAGACAGTCAGTTATGGTATGGGGTGATAGCATAAGCTGTAGTTATTGGGAACAACTTCATGTTAATACATGACAAGGCTAGACAGCAATTAATATAACAAGAAAAATTCATAAGTTTGAAAAACAACTAAATACAAGTGTCCTGTGTTTCGTCTTTGAGTGTATTTAATTATTTTTAAATAATCGTTTTTACTAACTTCTAATCGTCAAAAAATAGCTTTTTTTATAGCTTTGCAGCCATACGTTCGTTGTAATTACATTGAATTGCATTAAACTATAGTGCGTGCACATAAAATATTAAATGGATACATAATTGATTAAGTATCATTTTAACTCATTTAATGGTTAATAACAAAAAATATATTTTTTAAGGAAGTATTACTTTGTATAATGCAGGTTTATGGTTATAAAATAAAAACAATTAAATAAATGATTTTAAACATTTTTTATTAATTAAAATACTCCCCATCACTCTTAAACACTTCTCCCAGTTCTCTATATCCTCTGAATAACAATTTGTGACTTTATTATTAACAAATTCTGTAAACTCATTTCTTACGAATTTTGATCAATAAATTTGTTATGTTGTAAACCGTTGCTCAGGTTTCTGAAAACCACCATCACCTTATTTTCATGAGTTTGGGGCTTTGGAAAACGTGGTGCTGCTCCTCATTTGTCCAGCCATTATCCAGAACGTCTGGTATTTTCGTGGAGAATGCACTTTTCATCACAAGTAAAAATTCTATACAAAAAAAGATCGTTTCTGTTTAGGCAAACATGTGTTGCATACACTTCACAACGATGAAATTTTTGGCGGAGATTTAATGCATGACGAACACAAGTTTTGTGTTTTTTACCTTTCCAATTTCTTTAAGGAGGTCAGCGACCGTCAACTTGCTAACTGAAAGATTCTCTGCAAGTTCTCGAACTTCGAGGATTTTCTTCGACTACAATTCGCAAAACATCATCGTCTAGGTAAGAAATCCTTCCGCGACCTTCTTTGTCTTCAAGGCTAAAGTCTCCCTCTCGAAATTTTTAAAACCATATCCGAACTGCTTTCACTCGCACTGCCATCGTCCCAGACTTCATTAATGTTTCTAGCCGTTTGAGCACCGTTTAAAATCCGAAAATGAAATTACGCGAACATGAAGCGTTGACCTGTTAGTAAAAATTGAATTACTAACTAACGAAATGCTACTGAGGTAAACAAACGTTTTTGTTTGAAAGAGGATTAAAAAGTGTTGACATTCTTAGAAAAGACTAATCTATCAAACGTAAACATTATAACATTGAGAGGTAACTGAAAGGAAACATGAAAACCTGCATTATTTTCTGGACAACCGATTGCAAATATGAATTCACCAATTGATTTTAGTGACGTCATAGTTTTTCTTCATAACGAACTGTGATGCTAGGTTTGTAACCTACCTTTGATGTTATAATTTGTTATGATTACCGCAATATAACCTCCCTTTTTTTGGGTTCGAATTTCATTCATAAAACTTCGTCTTTAACAATTTAATTATGTGTACATGTGTTTATCAACTGTTTTATTTTTATGAAAGATGAATTGTGTTATGGAACTGATGAGGTAAGGTATATATTTACATTATGTATTGTTTTTAACGTTGATATTAATTTGTCGCCTCAACAGGAATAAATCAGGGAGAAAATTGAAAAAATGTTCTTTTCCCTTGAGGAATTATTGACGTGGCTGGGGCTGAGCCTTTTCGAACTCTGGCTCAATCTGGTCAGCTTGTGCCTCTTCTCGATTCTCCTTGCGCTTCCAAGTTCCATTCTCGAATCGTGGTGGGTCGTCTTTTCACCCCTTTTTATCGCAGATGCTCTCAACGCTTACTTCTCAATAATCGTGCTTATCCGGATGTACTTGGAGGCATTGTACAAGGTAATAAAAAAAAAAGTATATTTGATTTTTATAAGTAAGAGTATCAGTAAGCAAGAGACGGTTTGTTGCGTTGCATTGCGAGCAAATGAACCTGCAGTATTGGTCATTTCCAAACAGGTCTACCTATTCTCGCTTGTTTTGTCTGTCTGGCGCGTTTCGACATTTCATTATCTTCAGTGATGGGTCTTGACAAAACAGAAATAACATCTATTGTTTGATAGTTGCCGATCATCTTGGTCTGCTATCCTCACTGACTTTAATTAATTCAAATGCGCTTTGTCATATCACCATTTGGCGATCACCTGAACACTGAAGATGGCAAAATGCTGAAATGTTTAACAAATATCAGTGAGAACAGGGAGAACAAGATGATAGGTAACTGTCAAACAATAGGTTGACTGTAGAATAGAATTGGACAAAGCCCATCTACAAACAGTGCAACCTGCGACATAATGGAAAGGTTTGGACATATGTTGCTAGAGTGTGAAGTGTATGCATCACAAAGGGACCGTTTAAAAAAAAATTGATGCCCTACAACATATAAATAGGCCTTTAATAAGCCTCTTACTATTTGAAGGTTCTATGGAAGTGTACTTCAGTGTGCTTCTAAATCCTATATTATTTATATTTGTGTTGTGTTCCATGGAATTCTGAGTAATGTACGAGAAGTCAAATTGGTCAGAGCATTGTCTTCAAGAGCATCTAAATGACTAAATGGTTTGGGGAAAATTATAACCTGAAATTATGTTGGGTTCCATGGAATTCTGGGTAACGTACAAGCGGTCAAATTGGCCAAAGGATTGTCTTCAAGAACATCTAAATGACTAAATGGTTTGGGGAAAATTATAACCTGACATTATGTTGGGTTCCATGGAATTCTGGGTAATGTACAAGCAGTCAAATAGGCCAAAGGATTGTCTTCAAGAGCATCTAAATGACTAAATGGTTTGGGGAAAATTATAACCTGAAATTATGTTGGGTTCCATGGAATTCTGGGTAATGTACAAGCAGTCAAATTGGCCAGAGGATTGTCTCGAAGAACATCTAAATGGCTTGAGAAAATAACAAAACACAATAAAGTGTAATACATACATTTACCTGGCCATTTACATTAAACACCTATTGAAAATAAATCAGCGCCCTCTACGTGTTTTCCTTCTTTTTCTGAGTTATAAGCCGTATTTTGGTTTAAAATTTTAAGCTTTTATTTGTACACTATGTAGATATTTTAAAAGACTAGCCTCTCATTTCTCCTCAGGCTGTCAACTACAAAATGGACACCAAACATGCAATACTCCACATATATATTTATATTACCACAAACATGGAAGTGTGGTCATATTCCACTCCCACCAGAGTACTTATTATTCCTTGGGGTGGGGTTGAACCCTCTCCTCCATTCTCGCTAATAACTTACTTTTATTCTCCAGATGTCACACCCTCCAGGGCATATAATATCATAATAATAACTATAGATAATTATGATTTAAAAAAACTGGATTGTTTCATAATTTAATTTACAATTCATCATATTGTAAAATTTCTTCATGTGGCCTGCAGGGTAACGTACCAGTCGTTTGGTTATTTCCAAATATTTTTGTGTATCCTTGTTGTTTGGGTCTGTTAGTCTCATTTTAGTTTCTCAGCATCTTCAATGATGCTCACAGCTAGTATAAACTGACAGAAAATTATATTTATTGTAATGTGATAATGGTATACCTTCATTTCAATTATTTTAGGTTGCTGTTCTAAGGGGTTTGTGGTCGTTCTGCTTTATATTCGCCCTGTTCACATTCGAACTGCTTCTGTGTAAAAAATTATCTGGAGAGACTTCATTGGAGTTTTCCGAAGTCCTGTCACCAGTGTTCATCCTCTTGCAGCTCATGGCTGTAAGGGCGTGTCAGCTCCACTAAAATCCTCCAAAGGAATTTTTTAAATAAAAATGCTGTACAGTTGTAAATAAATTATAATTTATATTTCTTTAAAATTGATTTAATTTTGTTGAAAAATTACATTTTATCCTTTTTTATTGTCAAACAGTAACTGAATTTGAAAACATTTGTTCCATAGAAAAATGGTTCATTCACTTTTTATTTTAAATTCCATGTATATATCGTCCTTTTTAGATGATAGATGAAACTATAAATCTATCTGCATTGAATAACATTCTGCAGCTCAAGAGCAGACCATTCTGTCAAATGTTTCATCCATGTTCAAATACTCATTTATTCTAATCACACAAAACTGCACAGACTTCATAAACAGTCAATCTTTAATCATTTTTGCGAAGTTTACATAATTTGCATTGAGTATTGTTCTATTTATTTCTAACAAAAAATTGTTGGTCTGATTTACATGGAAGACACTTTTGTAGTACAAATAACTATAATAATAGCAAATATTTGTGCCTATGGTGTTTTTCTGCGAGGACATGATGCGTACATTTTAGCACAGTTGGCATTTCCCAGGCCAAGGATCGAGGCTTGAAGATTGCTAAGTTTGTCTTCTCCAAGTTTTCCAGAAAGCCAACTCAATCCAAAACTGAAAAAAAAGGTAAGCACAATTTTTAAATGTTAATTAGAAATTTTTTTTTTTAACTTAAATTTGTTAAGTTTTCTAGAAATAATTTATGACAAACTAATGTAACTATTAGTTCATTTTATGTTATCCATAGTTCATATCTTTAATTCCTTAATTATAACTTCATATCATTTATAATAAAATAAAGTTTCAATTATTAGAGTTTTACCTCCAAATGGGCAACCACATCTTGTGCTTTCCGTTAAGGGTTCGTGAGTATTTGTTATTCTGGCAGAGGGAATACTGCAAGCAGGCTCTTGAGTCTGTCGTCCGAGCTTCGTTTAATTGTGTCAGGTTGTCAATTGAATTGAGTACTCTGTATGCCATCTCGTTTAAATATCCGTCATCCAAAATCGACCGGCTACTTCGAACCCTGGTGCCAGTTGCTGTCGACGCTTCCCCTGTCCCTGCTGACGTTTGCATTACTACCGTTGTACCTTGATTACCCTTGTGGAAGAAATTTTATTAAATACAGGGTAGAATGCAAATTGGACTATGACTACTCACGATCATACAGTTCATGATTAAATTCATTACAAACAGTCCAAACGCCAAGAAAGCCAAGGCAGTTAAAGCTAAATCGAACAAATCCTTAAGGGCGAGCCCTTTACCAGAGTGTTCTTCTGTGTAATAATAATGTTCATCTCCTGAAATATGCATAATTGTCATCAAATGGTAAGTACGTAAGTAAGTACCTTTCTTGATCTAAGGTCTTTGATCTTGTCAACCATTAATTATGAAACTTGAATATTTTGGTGTACATGGTGTTTGATTGTATTGGTTTAGATAATACCTTTCTGAACTCTATCAAAAATTATTTATAAGTGGGCATCCTTCCACAGCCCCTGTTACTACAGGGGTCCCACAGGGCGGAATTCTGAGTCCAGTTTTATTTAATGTTTTAATCAATGACTTAATCAGTAGTGTTAAGGTTGGATCTTCATATGTAATCACATGCCACTATTATTACAGTGGGTAGTGCAACTGAACTTAGTTTAAATTTCAGTCGTTACATCAAGTAAAATGCATAAAAATGAATTGCAAATCAACAACCAACAAACGGTTTGTATGCACTTCAACTATGATAAATTCAATCCCCTCTCCCTAATTATTGAAAATGGTCTCCTGGGCGAGCTCAGTAAAACTTTTGGGATTGAATATTGATTCTCCTTGGCCTGGTAAGCGCATATAAAGGAAATCATACCAAAATTGAATATGTTGTTTTTTAAATGTGGATACTGGTGAATTCTACGAGCCGACACATAAACTGTAAACATTATACATCACTGCTCTTATATGGTCTGGTTTTTGGGTGTAATAGAACTACTGCTTTTAACAATTCACATAAAAATTGTTCACATTACGAGCAGTGTAGGAATAAGGCACTCTTGTGTCAGCTTTTTGAAAATAATAAAATAATGACACTAACCTGCCTTTACATTTAGAGAATTTGAGGTTGCCACACGGACTCTTACTTTTCGGCTAAAGCCCGCATATGTGTGTGTACAATTTGAGAATTATGCTTGAGTACAGCAGATTTGGATTCCCTGTTCTGATAAATTTGTGCTGAGAGTGAGGGTATGTATTAGTGTGAATGGGTTAATGGCAGAATATCGAGTACCCCATCAATCCTCAATTAGGTTAGTTGTATAATATGTGTAAAGAGTGATGGAGGAATATCAAGAACCCCATCGACCCTCAATTATGTTAGTTGTATATGTGTAAAGAGTGATGGAGGAATATCGAGTACCACATCGACCCTCAATAAGGTTAGTTGTGTAAAATGTGTAGAGGATGGTGGAGAAATATCGAGTACCCCATCGACCCTCAATTATGTTAGTTGTATATGTGTAAAGAGTGATGGAGGAATATCGAGTACCCCATCAATTCCCAATTAGGTTAGTTGTATAATATGTGTAAAGAGTGATGGAGGAATATCGAGTACCCCATCGACCATCAATTAGGTTAGTTTGTATAATATGTGTAAAGGGTGACGGAGAATATCGAGTACCCATCGACCCTCAAATAAGTTAGTTGTATAATGTAGGAATAACAATATGGAAATAGGATTGAATGTATTTAAGAATGAACATGAGTATGAACAGCTCGGAACTGCATGCATTGGGTGCTAAATTGACCTAGCTGTTCACAGCACCCCCCCCCAGAGCTTAACCTCAGTGTCTGGACGAATAAGACTGAGGTCTTCCCCCGGACTGCCAACACCCAGGGTGGGTGATTCTTGAGTCTGCCAGTAATTTATTGTAAATAGCAAAAGCTAGAATTGTCTGGCGGACTAGAAGAAGCGAATAGGCTCAACTTGGCACATTTTTATATGTGTGAACAAACATGTACTGATTTTAGCCTATATAAATTTAAATAAAATACAAAACATTTGCAGAATGTCCATTTTCATTTTAAAATAATCCTTTTACCTACTAATTTGACAATTCATTCTTATAATACTCAATTCAATCCAAGAATGATTTTAGATTAGGTCATAATAATAGTAGGTGGTATAATAAATGTGTTTCCCACATGGGAAATGGTTAGACCAGTTTTAAAAGGGCCTTTAAGAAGATATATTTTAAGGGAAATTTTTTTAGTTCTTCAGTGTAATTATTTTTTAAGTCTAATTGTATTAATTTAAATGAAACTTGATGTGTCAGTATTTAATTTATAATATGTCAACAAATGATTCTAATATACTCTAACTATTCCAATAGCATTTATCCTACTTTTTTTTAATGGAACAGAAAGTTTTATGTCAATATTAAATATTATTGCTTCCTAACTTTAAAGGTTGTACTCTGAATGAATGTATTTATTGGCTTGAGTGATGGTGGGGGCGTCACAGTCGAAATCGAACAAGATAACTAGTTTTATACGCAGCCTTTTATATTAGTTTTAGGTGGATCGTTCGGTTTAAGAATTAACGTAATAAGGACGAATTCTTTTATATTATAGATAAATAAATCCATTTGCAGAAGAAAAAATGGGTGGTCAAATAAATTTGACTGCTCTCTTTAACCTTAAACCATCGGCAAAATCGATATCTGATTTTCCCATTGTCTCTTAAATAATAATTATATACATTTTTTCTAGGATGAGCAATTTTATTATAGATTTTAGAAATTTGCATTTATTGTAAAGAGAGAAAAAAACAATCATATTATAATTTGCAAACAGGGGTTTATTATGTTCATGAGATTTGGCTCTATTAACGACAATTAAAGCAAAAGAATCGAGTAGAAATTTTTCATATTAATGATGAAACAGGCGAAACGTGCTGGAGGGAATGGCCGGATTCAGGATGTAATGATAAGCGTAGCGAATCCGTACGCTCCCCTGGAGTAAACGTGACATGGCAGGAAAGACGTTAGTTCCGCAACACGCCATCGTTAATTAAAGACATAAAACATGTTTCGATCAAACCTCTGACACTTTATTGTCTACAAAACACTCATCTGAGTCCATGTGTCAGCATGTCGGCAAATTAAGCAAATTGCAGGATCTACAGTAGAATCTTTTTACATGTCCGACTAAGGAATAGGTAAATTTATGAAGTTTCATTATTAGATTTTTATTTAGATCATACTAAAACAGTTGGATATATGATTTGATATTGGTTATTTATGGTCTTGAAATCAAAATATCATTTATTTAAATATCCTTCTTAAAAATTTAAAGACTAGGTGCAGGATTAAAGTGTAAAAATGCTAATAATGTAAAGAAAGGTGTACCGCGCTCACCCCCTACGGCTCCGTGTCCATGGGATTGTCCTCCTCCGTATTCAGGCGTACCATGTCCAGATCCTCCTGAAAAGTGGATTTCCCCTCCTCCGTGACCATCACCGCCACCGAAATCTAAAAAAAGACAGAAATTAAACTATTTTGATTTATAATTGGTTCGTTGACCAATGCAAACCAACCTGGCCCGAATATCGGCGGCCCGTAAGGAGACGAAGGTATGGTCTTCGTGTTGCCGAAGTTCTGCACCGCGTAGCCCGTCACCTCCCCGGTTTCCATCTCTTCAGAACCTTGGCCGGTTTCGTCCGAATCGCCCATCTGATCGTAATGGCGGTAAATGTCACCCAACAACGTGGACCTGAATTTTGATTGAAGTTTAAAAAAACAAGCGAGAGAAAACTAAGCGGCAGCTAACGTTCAGTCGGCGGAGAGGAAATCTTTTAGCTTGCACCTTCACTCAAGAACAAAAAAATCGAACCGATTATTTAATTTGAAAGAGTCTCTTTATCATGTTCCATAAATGTCTTTAGTGATCTGTAGTAGTCATTTCAGGAGAACGTGTTTGCCAATTGGCTACAAGCGGCCGAGAATTATCATACATTAGCAGGAAGTCGCGACAACTCGAGTTCAGCATATGCCTTAACACGAAGTTGTTCCCAATAAATGGAGCGAATGGGACCACAGCTTTGAAAAGAACTTCCTCAATCTACTTAGTGCAGTCAAAGATCCATTTCATATGAAAATCAGCTCGGTATGAGCAAGGGCGTTGATTCTGTACAAGCCAATACATACAAGCCAATACATGAGCAATCAAACTCATTAGGGAAAATCACTTCGGTCTTTCAAGCAGAAATACGTGCCATCAGTGCTTGTGCCCTGGAAAATCTTAAAAGATGTTACACTGAAAAAAAAAATCCTTATCAGATCTGATAGCCAAGCAGCCATTAAAGCATTAGCATGTAAAAGAATTACATCAACATTAGTCAGTGAATTCATCCAAAATCTCCAAAACCTGAGGAAACACAACAACCTTGGGTGCCAGGGAACAGAGGAAGTTTGGGTAACGAGAAAACTGACTTGCCAGAGGAGGATCCGCAAGACCATAACAGGCCCCGAACCTAAACTTGGAATAACAAAAACATATAGAATCCTCCATCGCAGAATAGATCCAAAAAAACAAAAGGAGAAGTGGATAAATTCTAGCGGTCTAGACATAGTAAACTTATGATGAAACAACCCTCACCGAGATGGCAAACTCACTGATGCAATTGGAGAAGGCTAGAATCAGGGTGATGGGACTATTAACTGTCACTGGCGTCTGAGAAAATATTTACGTAACATAGGGATATATAATTATGATCCCATCTGCAGATTATGCAATGAGGATGAAACAGCCACCCATGTCATCTTCGAATGCGAAGCAACAGCTCAATGGCATAGCATAAGCATAAGCATATTACATACTAAAGCTACAGTTGTTCAAGAATATGGCGACGTAGTTATATAAGTTTTGAGGATTAAAGCTTGTGAAATTCGAAGGTATACGAAGTGTCGAAGTAGATGGCCGAGGGAGGAAGTTGAAGTAAGACTTGTTGTTATGTTAGCTGTCGTAACAGCTCAATGGAGATTCAACCTGACATATGAAAACGCTTAGGGAATGAAATTGTAGCAGCGGCTCAATTCATTCAAATGACCTGATACTTCTAAGGAGAAGGATAGACTCTGTTGCACTGAACTAAGGAACTAGGAAGGTACAATAAGCCAGAAGGCTGCAGTGCCTCGGAGGTACAAACCCTGTTTCCTAGTATCCTTATCACCAAACCACACCACACCTGATTGTCAAAAGGCGTGACTCATGCATGGTACACGAAGCAAAGTTTTCTCCACATCATCTGTTTGCCAGCAACCAAACGAGTACTCACCTGTGAAGAGTCCAAACCTTCATTGTTTGTTCATGTGTACAAATGAGATGCTGATTGGCGAATAGTCATCTTTCTACTCGAAGACAAGAGAACCTGATACGGGACGTTTAGAGATTAGTTGACTACCTATCAAGGAAGACGTGAAATGACTGACCCATAGGGCAATAAAACTATCGTCTCTCTCCTTCGTACATCTCTGTTGACCTCTACCTTCTCTTCAATCGAAACTTACGGTGGCCATAACCACTGTAGGCCATCGTAGATGGTAGAGCGCGGCACACCGAAGACCTGGGCTATCAAACAGAAGCAACATCGCTCATTGGCCAAAGCATCTGCCCGAGCGAAAACTTTCGTCTTAAAACCATACTTTCTAAGAAAAAATTAATAATTAAACTTTTACTCAAATTTATTGTTTCATCAAAGAAAATAATTTTAAAAAATCAACTAACTCTCTCAACACGTTGGTTCTAAAATGGATGAAATTGAACTGATTTTCTTTAGTTACAATCTAAAGAATTAGAAACGATTACATCAACTATTAATCTTTACACTACGAGGTCATATCAACCCTTGGGGTGCCGATGTTACAAAAAGCCCATTTGTAAATAGGGGGCCCCAGGATTCGAACCCGGTACCTTAACCTTGCCGTGATGAGTCGCAGTGTCAGAGCCTTAACCGTTGCTGCCACCGATAACCTTTCTTAAACTTTAAAACATTTCTTTTTTTTAAGAATTCAATTTCTTCATTTTTCATAAATTAAAACGTTAATTTTAAATCACTGGTTTTACATGTAAATAAGAAATCACTGATGAATTAATTGTGCTAAAAAATAAAATAGTTTTTTTTAATTAACAAAAACATTTAACCTCGAAAGCCAATTTTTATACGAAGAAGATCCTTGGTCGTTAAGCAGAGTATCTTGAGTCCTGTGGTTCTTGTGGTTCATATGCTTCTTTGCTGGAACTCCGAGCCTCCCGATGTTTTTCTCAGAAATTCCTGTCAATATCTCGTCGGCGACGTAACTCCTGCATAGGTACTCGTTCATCATCGACCTGTCATTGTTACAATTAATGCTGTGCCGTTTAATCGAGCGGTAAAATATTGCAGAGCGATGCACACCTGTGATACTGCATAGTCATAAAAGCGTCTTTCACGTCTCCATCTGTCGTGAGGTTCAGAAGCGGGACGTCGTCGGAAGCAGCGTCCACCGCAGCCTCTTCGAGAAAAATAGTGCTCGGGAGGTATTCAAAATTGAGGAAATCGCTAACTTTCACAGCATGGTTTGACTTGGAAGTCAAAATTAGCACCAATAACACTGAAAACTCCTTGGAACCAAAATGTATTAGTTAAACATTACCATGAACGATACCTTTAAAACTTTTTTATTTTATTAAACTTTGTACGTATTAAGTCATTTTAAATATCTACAAGATTTTAGAATGAAAGTATCAAAATATATACAGAAAATATTGTGCATACAAGGATTGTTTTCAGTTAATGCAAAATATGAGCTAGGCTTTTAATGGGTACCTTTTGAATCGATTTTACAATTGTTGAGAGCATTTTCACTTCAGTACATCTAAAACAGAAACAAAAATAAACATGTAATGTTGGCCATTACGAAATAGTGGCAAATAATGGGTATGAGGTAAAGTATGACTGAAAGTCTGAACTTTAACTACCACCATTTTGAATTTTTTTGAGGGACAAATTTTGTTTTTAATTTGTGAAGCTTGTGGAAAATTGTCTTACGTTAATGGTAAAAATATCAGAGGTGATGGTGATGAGGATACTGGGAGGCGGAGTTTGTGGCCCAGGCTCTGCAACTTTCTGGCTAATTGTACCTTCCTAGTCCTCTAGTTTAGTGCAATTGACTCGATACTTGACTGTTGCTGCTACAATTTCATTCCCTAAGTTTTTTCTGTGAGCTTTGTTTCCATTGAGTCATTACTTCACATAAGAAGATATGGGTGGCTGTTTCTTCCTCCTTATCACGTAATCTGCAATTGGGATCATCATTATACGTGCCCATGTTGGGTAGATGTTTTCGCAGAATGAAGCGTGACCATCCTACCACTCCTCTGAGTCTGTCCCTCTCCAACTGCAGCAGTGAGCTGCGAGTCTTGTTGACCCTTGTAGTTTTAGCATAAGTTCCCTGTGTCTAGCCCCGATAATGTTTTATCCACTTCTCCTGCTGTTTTATACGGATCCATTCTGCGATGGAGGATGTTTGTTATTATTATCCCAAGTATAAGTTCAGGGCTGATATATGGTCTTGCAGATCCTCCTTTGGCTAGTGTGTCTGCTTTTTCGTTTTCCAAAATTCCTTTGTGTCCTGGCACCGAAGATATCATCAGGTTGTGGTGTTTTCCCAGGTTTTGGAGATTTTGAATGCATTGCTGTCCGATCTTATGGGGATATCTTGGCCCGTGTAACCTCTTTTAAGATTTTGTAGGGCACAAGCATTGATGGCATGTGTTTCCTTTTGAGGCCCGAATGTACTTCTCTAACGTGTTTCCCTAATGAGTTTGATTGGCGTACTCCTTTGGAGAAGGATCGGGTACGTGGCACTGAACTAAGGAATTAAGAAAGTACAGTGAGCCAAAGATTTCTGTGCTTCGGTAATCAAAAAAACCTCGACTTCCTAGAATTCATATTCAACATCATCCAGAAAATATGGGTTTAATTTAGGTTACTTACAATATAGTTCAACCTTAGCTTCATCTTTCTTCGTTAAGCCTCGAGGGTTTTTACCAGATTCCAAAGCTTTGTTAAAGTTTCCTCTGAGACTATAGACCTGCGCACCCTCAGAGGAAATGTTTCTTTTAATTTCTGTCATTGTCTGCTCAGGCTTTTTTCCATGCATATTTTTTCGGAATTTGCACCGTCGTTAAAGTACAATGAGGCCGAAAGCTGGCTTGGGAAACAAAATCCCATATCTCCTAATAACCATATTCAACATCATCATCATCATCATCGTAGTTAAACTGCTGCATACCATTCAAGAATTAGTTTGACAACGTTCGACAGAAGCGTTATGTTAATTTTGAATGAACGAATGAATAAATGCTTTATTTACACAAGAGTACATTAACTTAAGTACATTAACTTTACATTTCGTAAAAGTTATTATTGACAATGACCTTAGCCGTCTGTCTAATTGTCTTGTACACCTATTTTGGTTATTTAAGGTAAACTTATTTGATTTTAAAAATTGAAGTGGTCGATCAAATATTTTCGGTAACGAAGTGCGTGAGTAAGGTACGCTACAAAATTCCTCCAGTTATCGTTCCGGTAATTGCGATGATTTCTTCTTTATCCAGTTTCATTTTCCCAAAGTATTTCCGGTGGAACTATCTTGAAATAGGGCATACTGCCATGAAGTGAAAAGTGACCTCTGGGACGTCGTTGTTCCATAAGGAGCAAATGATGGTGCGGTCCTGTCTCCACGGTTGGCAATTCAGCTGCAGCAATTCACCCCTCGCCCTTAGATACAAAGATTGTATAGGAGCCGGCCTCTTTACGCCCTATGCACCGCGACCAGTATTGGTCTATTGTGTATCTCCATTTTTTATGTAGGGCTCCTCGTTAAGCTTGGGGCTTATTACCCCAAAGCTTTTCTAAGAGCTCTGGTGTGTATCCATCAGGCCATGGCTTTTCCTCCCCCAGGACTAAGAATCTCAGCCTATAGAGGACGTGTTCCGCTGTTTTTTCTTCTTCTTGGCAATATTCGCCCAGCCTTGGACTTGCCTATCCGAGGCTATACATATGTCACATTTGCATTTATTTCAAAGTGACAATGTTATGATTTAGATTTCGTGATTAAGCCTAGAGTAAAAAATAAAAGAGAATAGGGAAGAGACAGTCGATCAGAGAGAGGAACAAGCCATTCCAGGTAGATGATAGACAAGAGAAGTGTGCGATCCTCAAAAGTGTTGTATTCCCTAAAATAGAGTGCTTCGGTCCACTGCGGATTAACTGTAAATAGTGAGTACATACCCACCCTTGTTCTAAATGGTCTGGCAAACGCTTTGCAGGAAATTACTGTTTATTTAAATTTAAAAAGTTTTAATTGTTTGTTTAAAATTTAAAAGGAATTTTATTGATTTTAATTATTATTTTCTTGTGTTTTCAAACTTTGATTAACTTTTAGTATAAAAAGGCACCTGATCGGCTGAATTCAGGTTCGATCAAGATCTCTGGGGCTCTGTTTCTCACAAAAAGGATTCAGAGTTGGGCCCGTCTTGTTGAATCGAGAACAGATCGTGACACATACGCCTCCGGAGTCTACAGTGTCCAGTTAGCAGTCCAACTATTATTCTAGCCCTACCCCGTCCTATATTTAGTAGTTCTGCCGTTAGTTTCTGCGATGGTCCTTATAAAATTTTTGGCATGCCTCTGTCCTAGGCTTCCCATTGAACTAATCCATTGTCTAATGGACCCGCCTTTTTGACAGTTTCGTAAGCCACAAAAGGGTTCAAAGTCAATAGATGTCCTCATTGAACTTTTCTTGAGCAATTTATCAGTCTCTTCGTTACTCCTTTCCCTGTGTACCTGGCATCCAGACAAGGGTGATTTTGTTATTTTCTTCAATGTCTGACAGGGCTCTAATGCAGACCCAAACGACTCTGGACTTTAACATCGAAGCAGAAAATGCCTTCAGTGCTGCCAGGCTGTCCGAGTAGATGGCTATTCTTCTATTGACAATCCCCAGCCTTTTTATCTCCCTGGCACAGAGTTCAACAGCCACAGTTTCCACGTGAAAAACAGTGGCATATTGTCTTAAGCCGGGAACACACCTACCCGATGCTACCCGACGCCTTGCCATGTTTTCGTGGGGTGTGCACATCTATCCGACGCAAGTACACGTCGCGTACAGTCCACAGCGTTTATCGCAATAATCATTATCAAAATCGCAACGCATCTTTTGTTCTTAATGCACTATTTTGAGCAAAACTTTGTTATAAATTGTTAGTTAAATTTTATGAGCACAACCATCTAATAAATTGTTCGTTAAACTTAATTGTTTTAAATAAATTTACTCCTAACCATCATAATTAAATCGTTATCTAATATCTCGTTTAATTTGGTTTACATTAAAATAACATGTTGTAATTAATATAACGACAAAATTACATGTACTTAGTTTGAAATAAACTACAAAAAATATGAGTGTCTTGTTCTGATGCTACCCTACATTACAAAATGGTGTAATTTTATGATCAAAACTATGAAATAAATTGTTAATTAAATTTTATGAGCAAAACCGTGTAATAAATTGTTCCAATTTTAGTATATGTACCGCCGAAGCGAGTAAATAAATTGTTAGTTAAATTCATTATATCAAAAAATCGTATTCCGGTGTTTTGATTAATTTTCTACCAAACCACTAAAATTAATTTTTTAAATAGAAACTAATTAATTTTTAATCACAGTTAATTTGGTTTATATTAAAATAAGTATGTTGTAATTAATATAACGGCAATAATACAGTTTGAATTAAACATATACTTGTCCGGTTCTTTTGTCTTCGACTGTACTCGATGCTACACGACGAAAATCTGGACAGTGGGGATCGTAGAGCGTAGAGTAGGTTAGCGTTGCGTGGCATCGGGCAGATGTGCATGGGAGTAATACAACCTTATGAAAAATTGGACTTTGGATTTGCGTATGGTAGCGTCGTATAGCGTTCTTAGCGAAGTGTGTTCCCAGCTTAAAGTAGTGTTTACATTAAGAATAGCAATAAGGTATAATAAATTATGAACGACAATTAGAACTTTTTTTAAGGTTGTTGGATATTTGATAATCACGGGAGAGATCCCACATCAGAATGGAAAAAATCAGTGAATATTTCCCGTACACAAATTGCATCTATCATTGAGTTCCCTCTCTGTAAATGTAAATTTTGTAGTGCTCGACTTTCACACCTCGAATTCACTTTGGAAGAAATATAATTACACGTGCGTACATCGTATTTCTTAATGAAGTTATGCAGCAAGTAAAATTTTGGTCCATCGTTCACTAATTCCATGAAAATTGTAGCAAATTCCTCTTCTGTCCCTCTTTTGTTTCATTCCACTTCCGTTTTCTCGCTTGCAGTTGATCTTCTTCATCCAAAATCAGTGCAGTAATTAAACGTTTATCATGTGAAAACATTGCCGTTCTGGTCTCTTAATTCCACCGCTAGGCACGGATGAAACAATGACCAGCCATGTATGATCACGGTGGCCGGGAATGCGGGTCGTTACGTCGCTGTCACGTCACCGATGCCTGAATCGAACGACGACGGCCCCGACGACCTCATATCCAAACCCTCCAAATTAAATAAAACAGAGTTCCAGAGCTGGCTGGTTTCTCTCCCTAACTAGTCTGACAGATCGCTCAGATTTATGTATAACTATACTATTTGCACAATGTATATTTATTTGTACAGATATCAATAACAACACTTATTTCATTTATGCAACGGTTCTTTTGACAGAAACATGCCACTAACGTATCGTTTTCTACCGACAGAAACATAATTAGCATACTGAAAGGAGAACGGGATGTCTGTTTGAATTGAACAATTATTACATTCAGCAGTTTTGCCATGTCAATGTTGATGAATGCAGTTAGTTCCGAGTAAGGACGAAATTCTGAAGGCAGTCGTTAAAGCGCCATTTAGTCATAAAATAATAATAGTAATAATCAAGAAGGTTAAGAGGCCGTTCGGAGCAATCAATGTCACTGTTTATCTTGTGTACCCTTCATTCGCTAATATACTCTCTACAGTTTAAACAACGAGAGTTCAAATATGCTTAAACTCGAATAAAATTGACTCAACGGATTTTCACCCCAGTTTGTGTTTCATCGATAAACGGCTCAGGGTGATTGATTAAATGTGATGTCATGGCGATAAATCCTTATTGGGATGACACATTGGCAAATAATTCTTTATAATTATAAAAAAAATTTCAATAAGAAACACAGACATTGTCATAAACTGAAATTATCTATTTCGAGGGTTCTTCGATTGA